CCTATTTTATTTATTCATGCATCCACATAAAAATTCACTGCTTTAAAAAAAGAAAAAAACTGTAGTGACAGGTCTATTGACCCACAAGGTTCCTTTTCTCCAGAGACAACAGCATCATAGTAGTCTCTCCAGGTTTCTTAACCTAAATGTGCTGCTTTTGGATTAAACAAGTCAGTCTAATCAATTTTACAGTGCATTCTGTTTAGGTTACCCACAAAGAAGCCAAAGAATTTCAGCTGTGATGTGACAACTTGTTAATTGGGAAATAACTACAAAATCTGTTCAAAGTAGCATATGCAGTTATGCCGTAACTATACCTCTTCTTTATTTTATTACTCTTGCTATTAACAAAGAATATCCAGAGAGTTGCACGAGACTACTGTCCTGTCAATCAAGGGAACAGAACTGCACAACTGCAGTACTGGATGCATTAACTACATGGTTCTGAAATAAACGGGTTTTGACTGCTGAGGTAGCTTTTAACATGGCTACATGGCCTGCTCAGCAGAGGGGATAAGAAGCAGTGGCATTCTGACAGTTACTTCTTTCCCTCTTTTTTTAAGCTCAAATTTAACCAGACTATTACAATATTTGTTGAAGTGCTCTGTCTGCCAGGCAGTATAGCCCACACTAGACAGACTGACAAGTGACTCGTTTCAGTAGGAATTTTTCTGCATTCTTCCTGTTTTTTTATTTTGAATTGCTTGCACAAAGATTTGGAAGGCGGAGCTTTTGAAACATTAACTGCAGCAGGCCTAGCACAGGATGACACTTCTGTTGTTCGCTCAACTATGGGATAAATAAATTTTAAAGTCTGTACTAAGTTAAGAGCCATGAACAGACTTGAATTATTCTTAAGGTTGCACCATTACTCCAAATCTGATTTTCAGTAATGAAATGAAGTTCTAAAGAAATATACTCTTTTTTTTTTCATAGATGCTTTTAAATAGCTTCTGAAAAATACACTAGAAGCATTGATCTCAGAGTGAATTTGGCTACACTGATATTAACATGGATATTTACAAATTTATTTACAGAAAAATCCTTGTTTTTCTTTCTACACTAGAAGTATACCAGAAGGGAGAACTGACAGAAGAGCTAGGGAATCTCAGTGAGACCAGCTATGCTGCATCATTCCTTTAAAACCGTAGCCTGAAGGCACTATGCAGCAGCTGTGGTAGCAAAAAACCTTAACGGAGAGCAGATTAACAGTCACAGGCAAGACTCTATTAGGTATATTTGGGCAAACAGGCAAGCTCTCAGGTATACAGAGGTGTCCTCAAGTCAGAAAATTTACTTAGAAACAGAAAGGTAAACTCTGATTGAGAATAACTGCTCCCAACAACTGATTCTGTGCCCCGATGTACAGAGTTTGACACTGCATTTCGGATTCAGGTCTGAAAAAGGATTAGACTGGTCAAAATTGTCTTTTTTTCCCAGTTGATCATATCAAGATACCTGTGTATGAACCTGTGTATAAACTCTGGAAGAGATCACAAAAATCTTTATAAGGAAATGCCCAAATTTTCTGACTATTTGTGCCAAGGATGGGTAGTTATATCACTGCAAGACCTCCCCAGGAACACTTTTAGGGCATGTTGAATAGATAGGTAACAATCAGTCTTCATTTAGCATCACTTTATCATCTATGATTTTTTTTTTGTTGAGGAATTCATTAGCTGCTTCTCCACCTAAACATACAAATCTAAGTATTCTCATGATGCTCACACAGGTCATTGCTAGCAACGACTGACTGCATTTACACATTATCAGTATTGCTAGCTCTAAGAGTCTCACGTTTGCTGTTTTTCTGAAGGCATTAGTTCCTAAAAGCCTGCAATGATGCATTAATTCAGGATTCCTTGAAAAAGGCAGTGGGGACTAGAAGGGGAGTCTGTAGCTCTCACTTCAAGGTAAAATTTAAAAAATATAATCTGAGTCACATGTCTGTGAGTATCAAAAGGCTTGAAACACCCTTAAAATACTCAAAAGGCTCTCAAATTTTGTCAAGGTTTATTAAAACTCACAATTATTGAAAAACTCTAGATTTTTTTAAAGATTCAGGATCAATACATTTGTGCAAAGAATGAAATAATCACAACCAGCAGCACAGGCTGCTCCATATCAGCACTGGGCTACAAACATCTGCACTGAAAAACTAAGAGAACCTAACACAGATATCCCTGTGAAATCAGTTTAACCAGCACTTAAAGCTTCCTGTTCTAAAAGACAGGATAACCGCATAAATCTAAATAAATAAAAAAAAAATCTAACAAGGGAAAAATATAACTGGAAGATTCTTAGACTGGATAAGTCACATCTAACCTTGCACTCGAAAAGTATATATAAAAGATATTCTTACAGTAGAGAGTGAAAAACAAGCCATATAAATTGTAACATAAACACACGTAATCCACGCCAGACACAGAGCTGAACATTGAAATTACAGGTCAGGATTGAGAGATCTGGAGAATTTTTTTCCTAAACTCAGTGGGTTGAGGCCATAAAAAAGATCAGGATTAGTTAGCTGTAGAGCAACAGTTACCTGCAGAGTCAGATCCAGGCTCACTCCTTCAGCCATAGTTTCCTGCTTCCCACAGCTTTACAACCTGTGTTACATTTAGGAATTCACACTTCAGTGGTATCACAACAGTCAGGCTCCCCTGTATTCCTTCGTTCTCCTCCACAGGTAACTGTCACTTCAGGAACAGTTTATGTAGAACCAGTGATCCAGCAGCTAATATCCAGCACATTTTCTAGCTTTACTGAAATCCTTCTTTACCACTTATTTTGCTTAGATATTTGTTTCAAATTTTAGATGTTACTGCCTGAAATAAACATGCTATTCCTTTTTCCTTCTCCTCTTATCAAACTCCTTTAGACAGAATTTTATTTTAGATGCAAATATAAATGGAGTATACTTCGGTACTCCTGTCTGTGATAGGTGAAAAAGACAACCAGTGTCTTTCAAACAACTAACTCAGATGAGAGCAAGTTATTCAGTCCCACTAAATCAAAAAGAGAACAAACCAATAAAATGTAACAGTGAATTAAAAAGCTCTCTAGTGTTGTATACAAACTCTAGATTCCCTACCTATTCTAAAAAGGTTAGAATCTACAATTAGTATACTATCATTGGTAATATACTAGCATAGTATAATAGTATACTATTAAGAGAAAGATGCAAGTCTTTTAGGCATCTAGATATATGGGCAAATAGACCATACATTTCTAACATATGAAACTGCATTGAAGAAACTACATTCCATTCAAGCCCAGCAAAAGTTTTTATATATACACACTGAAAACTGCTTTGAATCCCCACACAGAGTTAGTTATCTGGCAAAAATGACTCACAGCTAAAATATTCCTATTATGAAAGGTCACTCAGTGCATTCAGGATTTCGAATCAGAACTATTTGTAATTTGCAAACAGCTCTACACCAGTTCATCTTGTCATTAGCTTATCACAGCAGCTACAGGAAGCAAAGGCCAAATAAAAGAATAAACTCAGTAATACTGTAAATGTGTCTAACAGTGGGGAAAAAAAACCCAGAAAATGCTTTATGCTTCACAAAGAACGGTTTTTAATATACATTCATTGTTTAAGCCTGCTTTATAAAAAATTGTCTTCAGGATTTTATAACAGGTATACCCTAGTAAACAACTTAAAAATTTTTATTTCTACTTTCATGACATTAAAATGTGTCATGTCAAGCTCCAGTGAGCAGAAAAATGCTTGATCAGATGTGTGTACTCTTTAACTAATTTAGATCAAACAAAAGACTGGAAGAACATCTTTAAGGCCTTTGTTTTTTGTGTTAGCAGGTTAAGCATGCATACAAACAGCTCTCCCCAACATCATCCAAAAAAAAATTTGTCTCAGATATTTTAAAATAGTTGTGTTGTTTAAAAGGCAAAATGGGGAGAGAATGTATTGGACTCATTCTTGTAGCTTTCAAGAATTCATGTGCTCTTCTAAAAACAATACTCTTAATAAATGAAAATATAAGTAGAAAACACAAAGCAAAAGCAATGATAGAGAATATAATTTTCAATCCTCAAACTCCAGGATTGTTTCTGTTGAAATTCTCTTTGATGAAACACTGAAAGTATATACTATAAAATACCCATAATGCAGAGAAATCTTCTCTAACAAGCAATCATGTTAGTTACAAACACATCATAGAATACAATGGGTTTACATACTAACATTCAAAACAACTTTAATTTTTCCACACACTCATATTCACTAGGAAAGCACATGTCATCATATTGCTTGGCCTTTTCACAGACAGTAAGTATTCCCTTCTCCTAACTTCACTCTGTCAGTTTGGCCTTAAATTTCAAGCAATCTGCTGATGGACAGCATAATCTGGTTGAGTTTCTAGAACAATGACTAAGGCCTTGATCCTATCACTTGTTCCTCCAGGCAAACCTCAGGTAAGGACTACTGCATACCAGTGTGCAATCTGATACAAGATTTAGGCTGTAGGCATTCAATAATAATGGCAACATTCATTTCTGAAGAAACATGGGAATCCATACAGTTTTTGAAAATTGCTCACTCATAAGTTTCCTAGTGCAAATTTATGGCACAAACCATACAAATAAACATATCTTTTGTTCCCCAAACCTCATTTGTTACACCATCCTAAAAAGAAAACTGGTAGTCTGTGTGTTAAAAAGGATTAAGCAATTCAATTCAAGTGGTTCCCCTTACACACATTACACAATGTAAAATGTAATTTTAAAATACGTCAGAATAAAAATCTGCAGTGATTCTGGAAGAATTAAAAAAGCTGAAAGGTTATTTTTCTTCTTGTTATGTGATAGCAGATATTGCTGTCAACCACTGCTTCATTCTTCAAGCCATAGTTTTTCTACAAAAAAAAA